AATTCTTCCCGTAGACAATGACCAAGGACTATCTCCATATATTCTGTTAGGCATGTTCTCGCTAAATTCTGTATCTCATCCTTTTGTTTCTACTGTTGATTCCAAATTCTTCCCGTAGACAATGACCAAGGACTATCTCCATATATTCTGTTAGGCATGTTCTCGCTAAATTATGTATCTCACCCTTTTTGTTTCTACTGTTGATTCCAAATTCTTCCCGTAGACAATGACCAAATGACCAAGGACTATCTCCATATATTCTGTTAGGCATGTTCTCGCTAAATTCTGTATCTCATCCTTTTTGTTTCTACTGTTGATTCCAAATTCTTCCCGTAGACAATGACCAAATGACCAAGGACTATCTCGATACGGTTTAAATCTCGGAATGAGTATTGCACAATTTGTAGTGGAAACAACTCTCTAACTCGGACGATACCATGGTGTTCTATGCATTCTTTACGATAACTCCACTCACTAACAGTCTTTCACAACTAGCAGGAAATAATCAAGTTTTACACGGTTTTAAAACTACAAGATCTTTGTTACTCATCATAAAACTTCCAATGCCGACGAACTGTATTTCAAACAAAAAGGGGCTGTACATTCTTGGATTGGTTGATTTCAAAGGCTTGACTTCACTTACACAACACTTCAACACAATTCAGTTCTGTATCAGGGGTTTGTGTCTGTGCTAACATTGACTTAAGTTACACAACACTTCAACACAACTCAGCTCTCTATCAAGTGTGACTCTGATTTAACTAATAAATTTTTATGTTGCTTTTCTAGCCTAATATGATCTTTTGGTTGAGATTCTCAGTTCTTATGTTGTTTTTCTAGTCAAATGTAGTCTTTTGGTTACGATTCTTAGTTTTTATGTTATTTTTAGCCTAATGTGATCTTTTGGTTAAGATTCTTAGTTTTTGTATTATTTTTCTAGCCTAATGTAGTCTTTTGGTTAAGATTTATAGTTTTTGTGTTATTTTTCTAGCCCAATGTAGTCTTTTGGTTGAGATTCTTAGTTTTTGTGTTAATTTTCTAGCCTAATGTGATCTTTTGGTTAAGATTCTTAGTTTCTGTGTTATTTTTCTATCCTAATGTAGTCTTCTTGGTTCAGATTCTCAGTTCTTATGCTTCATTTCTAGCATACACTCGTCTACTTGATTCAAATACACAGTTCTTCTGCAATGTTTCCTAATGGATTCTGAGGCCCTCGGGGGTGGCTGAAAAAAGTTCAGAGTTTGAAGCTTTTCAAATTGTAGCTTCCGTAGAAGGATCAAGGAGGATCTCTGAATAGGCTGCTCGAATAAATTTCTGATTTCCTTAAGCTAAACTTGAGATTCGGGTTTATTAATCCAGAAAGATCCAACTTTTAATCCACCATACATTTTTTACCCTCCAACTATTTTTTGGGTCTTCTTGCCCTACACTGGTTTACACAACGTTCACATAATGCAATTAAATATACATTTCAGTTTACTCTATTAAGAGTTTACATTAACTTCTAATATTTATAAAAGTGTAAAAGCTTTGCAAAGAAAAAATATTTCATCAGTTCCAGACCGTTCCCATTTGTGCCTAATTTCTGAACAAAAGGTAAACAATTACTTAGCTAACACCAACACAGTATGGAACGATGATTTTTTTAATATTCACTCACCTGCACCATAACCAGCAGCGCCTGTAATACATAAAAAAAAAACATAAGTCGCTTGAAATCAAACTTATACTGATATATTTGTATGCTTCAATTTCTCGACTAGCTTAGAAAACTACAATTTTAGGCCTAGTTCGAACAGCTCCATTTCTTATTTTAAGAAAAATGGTTTGTGAATTCTATAGTTTACTGAAGGATCACAAACTATCAACCACAACTGAATTTAAAAGTCTAAGTACAAAAAATTCAAATAATATTAATACTTTGATTTTCTCATCCTCAATTACTAGATGTTAATACTTTAATTTTGTCAACCTCAGTTCCTAGATATTTATATTTTAATTTTGTCAACCTCAGTTCCTAAATATTAATACTTTGATTTTCTCCTCCTCAGTTACTAGATGTTAATGATTTAATTTTCTCATCCTCAGTTCCTAGATATTAATACTTTAATTTTGTCAACCTCAGTTCCTAGATATTTATATTTTATTTTGTCAATCCTCAGTTCCTAAATATTAATACTTTGATTTTGTCAACCTCAGTTCCTAAATATTAGTACTTTAATTTTGTCAATCTCAGTTCCTAAGTATTAATACTATAATTTTGTCAACCTCAGTTCCTAAATATTAATACTTTGAATTTCTCCTCCTCAGTTCCTACATATCTACACTGATTTTCTCGTTCTCACTTCAGCACCAGCACCAAAAAGTTGAGGGGCAAGTGAAAATTTGGGTGGGAGGCAATACAAGATATTTTATACTCATGATGTGTAATTTTGGTGAGACTCATCCCCCCCCCAATTGTAGCGTGCTAAGTTACAATGAGCCGATGTTGGGTTTCAAAAAGTATTTTGCTTTGAGTTTTGAAGCTTCAAAGTATTCACATACCTCGGAAAGGATCAGAAGTTTTTGACCATTCTAGCATTGTTTGTTCTTGTGGTTCTTTTTTTTGGGGGGGGGATAAAATTCCCTTTAAAAGTGGATTGATGAATAATGGTCAAAGCATGAACTCGCCAAGTCACCAACCGGAACGGTCCTCCTCTTCGACTTTAAACCAACATTAACCTTATATTTAGAAACGAAGTAAAAACCTGTCAACAACACGATCAAGATCAATAAAAAAGAGCACGTTCTCTGTGTACACTAATTACTGTTAAACTCTCCAGTCTCTTATCTGCCATATTGGTGATTTTTTTATCAGTTTTAGCTTGCTAAGACTCCTTTCACGGCCGGTCATGCTAACTGGGAGTTATTGCTACCTTTATAACCTTGTGAAGCTCAGTACAAACCATAAATATTTGAGATGTTCTACAAACTCCTCGACTGCTAAAACTGTCGCATCTGAACTCTTATTCATTCTCTTAGTTTAACTCATTTCCATTTCAAGTTTCAGCCTTTAATGGGATGTAAGAAGTTTAATAGTCTCAAAATCAATGAATTTTTTAGATTTGGGGTCATTTGTAGACAGGGAGCGAAATATTTGAAGATTTTCCCCTCTGAATCATTTGTTTAGTTCTCCAAGAAAACTATTAATGGTTGGATGTTCGTTTCATGTCAGATGAATCTCGTATGGCGTCTCGATTCCCAAGTGTGGTTACAACTACAAAGTCGTCCATGTTTGAGGGCGTGGGGCTCTTTAACTAATTCCGACAGCAACATTTCAGGTAATTTCTGGTAGCAATGTCACAAGGACATTGAAAAAATGAAAATAAACTCAGCCACAGGTGTAACATATTTCACACTTTCTACAATGACCAAATTAAAACGATGAGCAAAACAGTGAAAGTAGATTGTTTGAAGTACGATTTGTCTTATTTTCTATTGAACCCCAGAGCACTTGCCACTCATGACGGTGGTGCCATCATATCCTTGACCAATCAGGTGTCCTTTAACTCCTCCAGAATATATTTCGCCAACGATTCTGCTTCTAGTTCATCAAAGACTTCAAAACCAAGAAATTTTTCATGTAGTTGTGAATCATTAAAGTACCAAAGTTTTTGTTTGTTTGTTTGAAGTTAAGCACAAAATTACCTTATCTGTTTTCTGTGCTCTGCCCACTGAGGATATCCAAAGTGGCATATTGGACTTATGAATTATTAAACTACCAAAGTATCAAACTCATTTGCTCTTCCTTTAGTTTCATCAACTATGATTGAAAAGTACTGAGCTTCTCTTGTTTTTTATTTTATTTCGTCCAAAATGATATCACTGAGGATATCCAAACTGGTATCTTGTACACTGTGTTCACTGAGGATATCCAAAATGGAATCTTATACACTGTGGTCACTAAAGATATCCAAAACGGCGTCTTGAACACTGTGGTCACTGAGAATATCCAAAATAACATCTTGTAAACTATGGTCACTGAGGATATCCAAAATGGCGTCTTGTACACTGTAGTCACTGAGAATATCCAAAATAACATCTTGTACACTGTGATCATTGAGGATATCCAAAATGGCGTTTTGTACACTGTGGTCACTGATGATATCCAAAATAACATAATGTAAACTGTGGCCACTGAGGATATCCAAACTGGCATATTCTACACTGTGTTCACAGAGGATATCCAAAATGGAATCTTGTAAACTATGGTCACTGAGGATATCCAAAATGGCGTCTTGTACACTGTGGTCACTGAGGATATCCAAAATAACACCTTCTAAACTGTGATCACTGAGGATATCCAAAATGGAATCTTGTACACTGTGTTCATTGAGGATATCCAAACTGGTATCTTGTACACTGTTTTCACTGAGGATATCCAAACTGGCATCTTGTACACTGTTTTCACTGAGAACATCCAAACTGGCATCCTGTACACTGTGGTCACTGAAGATATCCAAACTGGCATCTTGTACACTGTGTTCACTGAGGATATCCAAAATGGAATCTTGTACACTGTGATCACTGAGGATATCCAAAATAACATCTTGTAAACTGTGTTCACTGAGGATATCCAAAATAACGTTTTGTAAACTGTGGTCACTGAAGATATCCAAACTGGCATCTTGTACACTGTTTTCACTGAGGATATCCAAAATGGCGTCTTGTACACTGTGGTCACTGATGATATCCAAAATAATATATTGTAAACTGTGGCCACTGAGGATATCCAAAATGGCGTCTTGTACACTGTGGTCACTGAGGATTACCAAACTGCCATCTTGTACACTGTGGTCACTGAGGATTACCAAACTGCCATCTTGTACACTGTGGTCACTGAGGATATCCAAAGTGGCATCTTGAACTTCTGAGTCATTAAAGTACCAAAGTATGAAACTCGTCTGGTCTTTTTTAGACAGGTCTTCAGTTTCATCGACTAAGATTGAAAAGTATTGAGCTTCTATTGTTTCTTGTTTTATTTCGTCCAAAATTATGTCACTAATGATATAATTTTGGCATCTTGTACACTGTGGTGCATATATTTGGCATTATTAGGTCCTTCACTCAGTTGTTCATTTAGGATCCGGGAATAAGTCTTTAAGAAGTTTAATATTTCCTAAAAGTTTTCTTCGTTTTCAGCTGTGTCTCCTTCACGATGAACCCCCTAAGCTATGTTTTGGACAGCTGTAAATCTCAACGTATGTGCAAGTATTTTAATGTATTCCTTTTTTTTTCCATAATCAGTGGGTGAGCTTCATTAACGTAGTCTGCTACTGTTTTCTCAGAAAACTTTGATTCTAAATAAGCATTATATGTATACGTGTTGTTCAAATGTCTATCAGATTGTTTGTGTTAGAGAAATTTATTAATTTTGAAGATTCATCCGTTCACTATTTCCATTATAGATCCCTTCAAACACAAAAGTTTGCTCACCTTGATATTTAGTGCCCGTATTAAAATGACGACAGACAAAACATTAAACTTTGTCAGTAAATGCAAATATTCAAGCCAAGGATATGATTTATACCATTCAGGTATGAATTATCGTCCATGAGTCTTTGGGTAGTGGAAGGGTTCATTAAAACCAGGTTGAATTGGTCTATTTTCGGAATATGTCAGCCAGACTACTTACTCCAAGAGTTGGCCTAGGCACACTTGGTTTTCCACTGCTGTTGCTCGACTCATGCAACTGTCCAATGCCAGCAAGGTTCACCCAATATATCTTCATGTTCTTGATCAGAAGTATCCATACTGCTGCCTCTTTGGTTCAATAGTCTATCATCTGTCGGGTCTTCAGGTTCATACCGCTGCCTCTTTGGTTCAATAGTCTATCATCTGTCGGGTCTTCAGGTTCATACTGCTGCCTCTTTGGTTCAATAGTCTATCATCTGTCGGGTCGTCAGGTATGACTATTTCCTCTTCAATCCTTCGGCGCTTCTCGCTTGTCCACCTATCTTCTTGATAGATTCATCTTCCTGGAAATCCTGTGATTTATGCGGGTTTTTGTTGCAACATTTTCTGGTATCCAATTTTTCAATAGTAACACTCGATGTGTCCATACAAGTACGCAGAACACCAACTTTATGTAACAATTAACAACAGTAAAATGTATCGTTTAAAGATACCCACGACCTCTAGACCTAGAAACTTGAAAATCAACCTCACAACAAGTACTGAGGTGCAAAATAAAAGCGCCGAAGATAGCTTGGTACACAATAAGCACGTTCTTGTCACAAGTGCTTACCGCAAAACTGGTCTGAATACTTTATTTATCAACGTTTCTGAGAAAGGCACACCTAGGTCTCTTTTAACCATTTGGCGAGGGGCAGTATAATATTTTCATCGTTCAGGCAAAGCATAATATTTACAGACATAAAATCTTAATTAGTTTCAGAGTTATCAAATAGAAAATTAGATCCCTCTTGCCACGCCCACCTATCAATCCACCCTTTTAGAACTTGCCAATAGTTTCCCTAACTTTTAATTCTATATTATGTTGTTGCGTCAGCGAGTCACATGACCACTGTGGCGCCCTCTAGTTTCT